CTATTCTCTTGTTCTGACCTGAAGCTAATGCAGTATGGATAAACTTAATTTGCTTCGCATTTTGTCATGCATATCATATATATGCACACATAACTTGGTACTACGTGCCTTACATGCATGCACAGATGTATGTCACCGACATTGACATTCATAATATACCATACAACTAAGGTACCCAGTAAATTTATGCTACGCCCAAAAATTGTGATGTATGCCTACACAACGTACAATTGACATATCTAGCATAGCAAATCTTGAAGCAGAAAAAAATTGCAGTTTTTTGAATCTTTATCACAAAAATTGAGTAATAGCCATTTCCCAAACTTTAAACAATCGTCGCACTTTACGATTGTTTCTTTCCGGCTTTTAATTTTTCGAACAATCGTTCGTACTTTACAAATGTTTCCTTCTTCTTTCCTCGATACACTGCTTATTTATTTGTAACTGATATCAACCTGACGACCTATTTTTTTTTCCTTTACCACTTTTTTTTTTGTTTGTTAATGCGTAGTTTTATATGAAATAAAATTAAATTCGGACATGGATAAATTTGATCTACGACACGCAAGTCTTGCTTCCTTTTACGAACGCATATATATATAGTGCAAATATAGTACAATATAGTACAGTTGTACTACATACAGTACAATACAGTATGATCCTGATATTTAACCTATGCCACCAAGTCATCAAATCTACTATAGTCGCCACTCATTCAGTTTTCTCGTCAACAACGGTAGTCCTTGCCGATTATTTGTTTGTGGAAATCGTTACTATTTGCAAAGATGACAATCTTCGGCATGCAACCTGAGTTGAAAATATCTATAGTTTTACGCAGATATATGCATAAAACATTAGTCTGGATTTTTTCTTTGAAATTCAAAATCAAATGCACGTGAATGATATGGTGATAGAGATAATTTCTAAATAGTCCCACTGCTTTATCTTGAAAGTTATTAGTTAACATCTACAATTTGTTGAGATAGTACGACTACGCTCTCCTCTATAGTTTACTCAATTCAAACGTCACTTCTCGATCATAACTATCCATCTTCTGATAATCTTATTTCGTATCAATTCATATTGAACCATATCCATTGGGAGGAGAAAAGTCTAAAATATTCGTTAAAAAAAATTTCTGACAGTAATTCTCATAATGTCCTCGTTCAGACCCTTCCAATCCACAGTGATTCTCAGTAATTGTAAATGGCACATCCAATCTTCGGTTTCGCTTAAAAAAACGATTTCTATTTCATTTTTCCCTTCTACATCTAAATTTAACGAAATTTTCGATATAAATCGACCACGCGCTGATGCGCTTTAACATTCTTTTATGGTTTCACTACAAGTATTACAAAAAAAAAAAAGTCGTCGAAAATATGGTGAGGATTCAGTTAGGGCGGTGGTCATTGAACAAACTGGGTCACCCTCCATTCACACGGGTTTACGACTAATTCATCCAAATTACCTTTTTGTTAATGATCACAAAAAGGAAAAAATCTCTTTTCGATCAAAATTACAAGAAATTATGAAATTTTCGCTCAAACTGAGGTCATATCAATGTTAGATCTACATCGATGTGTCGAATGACTGGATAATTCGAAAGATCCCTAGATGAAAAAAGATTGCAAAGAGAAAAAAAAAATCAGGAAAAAAAAATCATGGATCAGGAAAATACAGGAACAAATAATAGCCCTAACCTTCTTATATTTTTGGGAAATCCTGGTTTTTCTTAAATCTTGCTTCAGGAATTAATAATCGAAAGTTTCAAACATCAAATACATATACAAATATCAAGTACAAAAAATCAAATATTTATGAATGCTTTGTGAGGATAATCTTTTCTCCCAGTTACTGATTCCACCCATCAAATTTAATGTTCGAATAGTGTTTTATTCTCCCTATTTTCCAACAATTTCGAACCATCATCAAATTTGCAAATACCACCGATTCGGCTTTCCAAGAACCTTCCTGATTTCTCGCTCCATTTCTGATCATGTCAAATCAATCATTAGTGAAAAAGTCGAATGAAGTGAACACGACCTTAGAATTAATTATGTCTAGAGTTCCGAGTCATACATTTACCCTTTCTCCTTCTTCCACCTTGTTACTAAAGTAGATTGTAATCAGAAACCACTTCCCATCTGACATCAGTGTGAACTGTTACAGCAAAGTTGAATGACCAATAAAACATACAATGAAATCTAATCGGATCTAATCCACTGATTAATTAGGAAAATTTGCTAGAAAAACAAAAAAGGAAAGAATTGTTCGATAATAAACCGTTACTTCTTCCTCTATTCCATCCTTTTATCAAATTAACCCATCAAATTAATTAAGGAAAAATGAGAAAACTATCCGCCCCCTATATCTACATGAAATACTTGTTTTCTTGACAAATAAGATGATTAGGTGTTTTTCAAGTTAACCAATATAATCCATAAATCAATCAGTCAACCAATCAATCTCCACCTTTTGAATAAACTGTCCGCCTTTTAGCCATGCAGCTGTTGTCGTTGTTGCTATTATTATTGCTGTTGTAGCTGCTGTTGTAATTGTTGTAGTAGTTGTCGTTGTTGCTATTATTATTCTATTATAGTTGTTATTATAGCTGTAGTAGTTGTTGCAATAGTTATCACTAGGAGCAATATTTCATGGGAAATAGTAGAAAGACACCGATTCGTGATGATAAGAAAGCCCGACAATCAGATGAGATCAATTTAGTTTTTCAATTTGTTACCAGTTGTAATGATAGTAGTAGCAATGGTAGCAATAGTGATAGTTGGTCGTGGTCAGTGACAACGAAATCTGTAGATCGGCGGTAGTGGTGGTGATGATGATTGCGATAGTCGTAGTAGTAGGATGGTAGTGCTGGGATGGATTTGGTGTATCGTCAATGATGTCGTAGAAATATAGCAGCAATAGCTATCGATGATGGTGATGATTAGTGCTGATCGGTGACGAACGATGATGACTATACCGATTGCGATCGTAAACGATAATAGGTTTCGTTACTGATTCCACCTTTTCTTTCTTTGCTTTTTCCTCACTTTTTGTCACCAATTTTAATGATACCTGCAGTAATTCGAGAGTTGCTATTCTGAATACGTAATGGATAGATATCCTAGCTCCCGATATCACAACTTAGATAAACTACCACAACATTTGAGCAGTAATCCAATTCAATCGTATCTCCTGGGATTATCCAAAGCACACACTTCTATATAACCGATTCGATAGATCGATATTTCGGTAATACCTTGGGAAGTTTCTCAGTGAGTTTAGTTGAAAATTCGCTAATATCTTGAGATTTCACAGTTACTCGGAATTTCGGTGATATCCTAGAAGGCTTACCGATGAGTTAGTTGCTCCGTATCCGCTTGTAGCTGTAGTTCGTAATAATACCCAAAACGAAATTCGTATAGGTGTATGGCTGCATATGTGTGTCTGTTTGCCTGTTCGTTTGTATGTGGAATTTCTATCAATCTTCGAAGAGGGGATGATCAACAGTGATTGTTGGTGCTAAGTGTGTAAGGGGTTGGTACCGGTGTAGTTCAAAACGTCGTCGAGAAAAGTCGATTTTGCTATTTCATCCAACATCATCCTCCTCTTCCTTCTCCAACTAATGCTACAATTTGGAAGGTCTCGTCCCTTTTCGCCGTACCAGCCTGTGATCCTGTCGCCAATGCCCCCTACCAATAATACATTCGTATATTTCTCAATCAACACACTACAGCTCACACATACACAAACACGTACATACACACATATACACATACATTTACACAACTAAGCTCACAGACATATATATATTTGGGTAGTAAATATTACATCTAATGCATGTTGTTAGGCTCTTTCAATTCCATAATTTCAGTCCATTTATCCTGGCCCACTTTCAGAATTCCCTATCAATGTGGCTATTCATTTTGTCACTTCATTATGCCATATATCTACAAACCGATATATCGAGAAAATAACCAATCAATAAACAGATCAACCGACAACACAATTCTCATCAGACTATGCATGAAATAGCAAGTACTATTTGTCATAGAGAATGAAATATCAAAAATGTAACAAGGTTAAAAAAAATGAGACAGAAATTTAAGTTCAGAATGTTGAAACTAGTGACACCCAAATTTATCAGTAATCTACAAAATCTCTAAGGGCATTTTCGCCAATCAAATGATTAATTTTTGATATTTTTCTTAAAAATCTACTAGAATTTTAACCCCGCTTTTTCCCCCACTCCTACTCTTTTCGTTATCGCGCTTTTTTTCTTCTTTATTTTGCCACTTTTGCCACACACCAGCCATTTAATGACAAGAAACAGATTTTTTCGTTTAATTTTCATTCAATTTAAAAAGAAACAATTGAAATGGAAGTTTCTAAGGGATATATATATATATCTTTGATGAAGATTTTAGCTTATACACAAATGAAAATCTACGTGCCTTCCATCTATGCCACGATTCGTCTTATAACTACGTTCTAGAATGTTGGTGATCATCCCGAGAAGTAAAATACCGTGACTCATGAATTTGTCGTTCTGGATATGCAAATTATGCTTATGTGAATGAATTTCATCTTTCGCAATCTCCTTTACAACCTTCCTATAATTTCGACTATCAGAAATCAGTATTTCTCTGAACATTCAACTTAGCTACAATAGCTAGAACTGCTCCGAAATTGAACGTAACATATTCAATGCAATATCGTTCCCATTCCGTCTTTGAATTCGTATGCAATGTGACTTATCCGCATGTCATTTCCAAAAATTAGAACTTCAAATTAGAAAAATTAAACAGAAATTTTAGTCATTTACTTGTGGATAAGCAGGAAAAATTGGAACAGCCCTCAAACATTTAATAGTTAGCTAGTTTATTCAACATTAATTATTTCTTTACCCTATGCTAATATTATAGATTTTCTCTCGATGAATTTTTCGATCTAAATTAGAAAAACTGAACAAACAGATGAAAAAATGGAACTTTTCAAACACTTCTAACAAACAGAGAGGGGAAAATGTGAAAGAACGGCTGGATTTGCACAGCTGACCTCAATTTTACAAAAAAAGAAAAAAGGAAAGAGTAAGGGTTCAGCGGAATAAAACGCGGGCAAGCAACACAATAACTAATTTATTTTAAATCTTACACAAACCGAAGGTCATTTTTGCTCCAAAATTCTAAAAATTTGTTATCGAACAAAATGATTTACCACAGCTATTTAGGTATTTTTTGCGTACAACTGAAAGTTTAGGAAGCAGAAGACTGTATGCATCAAACCATCCATCAGAAAAAGGCTAGCAACCGTAGCACGAAATAGTTCCGCTTAATCGGCTCATTCCATTAATTACGTTAGTAATGTTTAAAATTCAGTTATACTGTAAACATACAAGAGTACTTTTCGGGCATTTTTTTAGTCTTTAAAACTTGTCCACGCTGCAAGACGGCTTAATCGCTGTTATGTCCATATCATGTTAAAGTAATGCGGCTGAGATATGTCTGATATAGAGGAATAAAACAACTATGTATAATGTGGGCCAATAATTCCATTTTTTGCACAGTATCAATGGTCGCCTGCTAGGAACTTGTAGGCTTTACATCTCAATAATTACATGTGGAAATACTATATGCTTCAAATAAGGATATGAAAGCAGCGGAACATATCTCCGAAAGTTTCGAATAAGAAAAAATGACATTATCGTTGTCTTGGCTAAAGCTGGAAGGCGTGAACCACTCACCGAGTAGATCATGCAGAAAAGTTTGATTCGTAGCTCCCAAAAACAAAATTCAAAATGTTTCAAAACCATACTATACATAATAATTTACAATAAGTCGCGAGAGTGGTGATTAAGAAAATTACACAGAGAATCTTCTCCAGTAGTATTTTCAAATATTTTCCACTGATTCTAATTCAATTTTAATCTTTCTTCCAAATGTTATCAAATAATTTTGAAATAACCACAGATTTAATATACTGATTATCAAGGAAGATAAGACTGCAAAAAGACCATGTTTCAGAGTGAACAATATTAATTATTCGCTGAAATTGAAATTGTTGGCTTATGATACGACAATACCTGAGAAATCTTTTCATTTCCAAAAAAATTTGGATAAAATGTAAAATAAGATCCAGACCTTCAAAGCAATTGCCATCAATATTCCTGAACACGGAATCATCCATCGTCGAACATCATTTATTTTCTACAAAATGCTGTAACAGATAGATAAATTAGCTAAGAAAATATCATTCATAACAAAAGATGCTGCAATTTATCCGCAAAAGAAAAACCGATAAACTGAACAATAAAACTATGGAAAAATCCTGGTATATCTTCATCTTCACTTCAGTGAGGTCGAACGCAAAACGTATTGGTACTAAATTAAACTTCATTTAAAAAAAAAAACATAAAAAAGACATGGGTTAGTGCCGCCTCTTATCCATTTTAAAACACCAATTGAGTAATTTGAAAATTGTTTGGACGATTTGTTTTTGATTTATTAAGCAAGTTCCGGTAATAGGAGAACAAAACAGGGATGGAGGGAGCAAAAGAAATGCTTTTCAGTGCTGTCATATGTACATGCATATATTATACTGATACTTGAAATGATTCGTAATGGCAAAAATTTGTAAACTATTTGGAACAGTGATAAGGAAATGACTTGTCAATCGATAGACAAGCATTACTTATTCCTCACAATTCTCAATAACCTCTTTGTTTCTTTAAACACCGACTTATACTGTTTTCCGTCCCAGTTTCAAACAGTTCGAATATAGTTAAACATAACTATTAGCAAGGTTTTCCTAATCTATTGACTGGAATTTTGCTCTTTCCTGAATTATCACATTTTTCCCCCCCTTTCCATTTCTGATCCACATGATTCTTTTAAATATAATCGATTTTCTGTTCCATCCGGAAATGTTTTGTTCTTGATCCGGATAACCGAATACAACCTACTTTCAGAAAGAAGTAAAAATATTTCGCAAACACATTTTAGTAAAGGAACTAAAGAAACTTCACGATACATTATACGAAAGACAATATGCTGCATTTATGCCACCATAGCAAAAAATATCGCACTTTTTTGAAGGCACTGCAGAAAATTTCGATCATAGTACACACTGTGTACATGTCATAGAATAAGTATGCTACAATACGTATCACATAACCTTTGATTTTCACTTGTCATAATACATGTACACGTCAGATGATAAGCATATCATAGTTATTGATAAAATACCATGTAACCTCTGACCCTCACTTGTCACAGTACATATACACATCATAGGAGAAGTACACTACAATAAGTATGTCATTGTTATTGCTAATATATCACACAACCTCTGACCCTCACTACTATCACAGCACTACACACCGCTCTGACCCTGAAATTACGGACAAGAAAAAAAAACAGTGCGCATTAAACATTACGCGTCGCGGATGGCATATGACGAAGGTTCGCCATGCAACTAAAAATCCCAGATGTTAGTATTTTGGAAAAGTTGAGTTTTTTTCTGGGACGGTAAATGGATGTGGATATGGATATGTTTTACATGCTAGAATTAATTGAAGCTATCTATTTGAACATTTACATTTTGAAGAAGGTTAGAAAAAGAGGAAAAGATAAATATCACCCCTTTTTTTTTCTCAAGGCAAACAAAAGTTTCAAATTTACACAGTCCTAACATGCAAACTGTTAAATTTCGTTTTTATTTTGTTTTTTTTTTCTAAACTGTCAAGTTTCGTCTTTTTTTTTTTAACTTTAAACAACCATATTATTCAAATGTAATTTTATACATCCTTAACATTTATGTTTACTTTTACACATTTACGCAGTCTTAAAACGTGCAAACTGTCAAATTTCGTTTTTGGCATTTAAATTTGACTTTAAATAATCGCAACATTCATATCGTTAACATTCAAATGTATTTTTATAGATTAGTAAACATAAAACCTCGTATAACCAACTATCAGAACTTTATGTTTTTTTTTTTTTTAATGCGTCCATTAGATGCTAAGTAAGTTTACCGATCATTTCGAATGGCCATCTAATCAATGTAGTATAGTAATCCATTGGGTGCTAAATAGGTTTCTGGTCATTTCGAATATCCATGTAATCAACGCGACATTTCGAATGTCCATCTAATCAATGCGGCATAATAATCCATTGGGTGTTAAGTAGGTTTTAGGTCATTTCGAATGTCCATCTAATCAACGTGGCATAATAATGCATTGGTTATTAAGTAAGTTTCTGGTCATTTCGAATGCACATCCAATCAGCGTGACATAACAATGACATTAATTCTGAAAATGTTAAATAAATCCTTGAATTGATTTGGAGCATTCAAAATTTAAGTTCCAGAATATCTACTGTTCAAATCCTAATTAACTTTAACTTT